TAGGGGCTGACTGAATATAGGATATCGAGGATGGGAGTTCGGGAAAATCCTAAACATTTGGATCGTGTCGTCTGATGTTATATAGCAGGCTTTGGGGGAGGGAACCAGGTAGAGTCCCAGTCAGTGTTTGAGTTCAGTTGGGAGGATAGACCACGTGGGCGCTCAACGTTGAGATGTGTTTGGATTGATAGATGAGCGATAGGGCTATGGTCAGTGATCATGTGAGGGTGAAAGTGTTGTAAGACTACGGGGGAGCCGTAGCATTCACTAGCAGTCGGATAGTGTGGAAAGTGTTGTAAGACTACGGGGGAGCCGTAGCATTCACTATCGGTCAGATAGTGTGGGAAGTGTTGTAAGACTGCGGGGGAGCCGTAGCATTCACTAGCAGTAGAGAGTGTTGTAAGACTGCGGGGGTGTCGTAGCATTCATGGATTCTTCCAAGTGATTTGGACTAGGGTAGACTAGTTCGCATGGTTGTGGGGGAGCCACAACTTAGTTAGGATCAGAACCAGAGGTGATTGACCGATCAGTTATCCGGGGGCGAGCCCGGATGGTTATGGGAATTTAGGACGGAACTGGTAGAGGCTGTTGAGTTGCAGGATCTTGTGGATAAGTGGTACGTGGCGCAGTAAGGCTACGGCTAGGTAGTCCTGATATTTGATCTCTTGGGAACCTGGTGGTTGGACCGGGTACGAGACTGGTAGTCTCGGGGAAATCGGCTAAGGGTATCTATTCATCAGTACAGTAAGGGATGTCGGAAGTTATGGTGCATTATGGATCTCGAGGTAGTAGCGGGGGTATCGACTCGTTTCGGAAAGGATTCTGAATCGGGGTTCGCACATATTCAATGCAGGGTTTTATTGCAGTGAGATGGGATTTGGGAGCATAAGGATGCCAAGGGCATCAAATGTAGGATACTAGGGTAATGAATGGGTTGGTTCGATGGTAGCTCAAGCCATCACGATGTGACTCGAGTTGGTTCTATCAGTAATGGGACCACGACATGTTGAACCAGGAAAAGACAGGTCAAGGGAGGTCGGGTATGATATAATACCACAATTGTTCTTATAGCGTTCATTTTTGCTTCAGATTCAGTGGCGACGGGTTGCCAGCCTGTCAAGATCGGATGGATCAAGGGATTGAAGGAGTCGAGAGAAGAGGTATCGCTAGGGCAATTATTGTCAGACGAGGTGTCCTTCAGAGGTCATGTGGGACTGTGGAGCGTGTAAATCTGGCACAACAATCGGGAAGGTGTCCGATGTTCCAGATGGTTGGTAGGCAAGTTGGGATCAGGAAGGTCCCGGGTGTTCTCCAGGAAAGCAGCCATGTGGCAGCAAGAGGAGTAGGAGTGACTTCAGTGATTTGGGGTCTGTATGTGGAATTTTTGGATATTCGGTAGTCACAGTTGACCGATGATTTTGTTCTTTAGGAAGCCTCAAGGTATTATGAGTGGGAAGTATTCTATCTAGACTGGTTTTTGTGAAGGCAGTTCGATGATGATTCGATGAAGGCAGTCTGTCAGGGTGACAGACCATCTCGAGACTTCAGATTTCAGATGGGGCAGGTGTGATCAGGTTGCAAGGAATTCGTTCATCTCCGTATTCTGGAACCTTATGAGGATTGGTTTCAGTTGGCTTGGGTAGGCTGTGGTATTCATGCGTTTGTGGCGATGTTGCTCAGGTTGTCTGGTATGTCGGGAATGGTGATGCATGATTTCGGGGACGAAATCTAATTTAAGTGGGGGAGAGTTGTAACACTCTGTTCCGAATTGACTCCTAGTCTGAGGCGGTGGCTCGAAGGTCGGTCATTATAAGTATTATGGCTCTTGGGAAGGTAAGATCTAGCCCCTTTTGGGTGCGGGTGATGTATTAGAAGTGATCCAGGTGTTTGGTTCGTGTTTTGGAGCCTAGGGGTATTTCGGTAAAATGGCAGTTCGGGTTTTTGTGGAAATGGACTTTTGTTCGGAAGGTATTTAGGAAGATATGAGTTGATAGAAGTGTAGGGCTTCTCGTTACCTTTCCGTGGATATAAGGATCGTCGAAAACAGATTTATAACGAAGAAGTTATGGCCTTCGGAAGTTTAGTAGTTTCACGCTTAGCCGAGTACGCTGGGCGTACACAAGGAGTACGTTGGGCGTACTAGTGAAGAAGGCATTACGCTGGCATACTTTTGGAGTACGCTGGGCGTACCATATGTACGCTGGGTGTACTCCAGTCAGATCAGAACCCTATTTTAGGGTCATGGACCCTATTTAAACTCCTTATCACATAACCTAACCCTAATATCTTCAGCCTCCACCCCTCTAAACTCTAGAAATCGTCATATATCATCCATGGTGGCATTTTGAGCTTATCGAGTCCATTTTTGGGGTGTTTGACCCATTTTCAAGAAGATGAAGTTTGATGCAAAGATGAGAATCAAGGAGGAGCTTGTGGATCTGGCTTTTAGGACTCATTCTCAGCTTGATAAAGGTATAAAGCTTTGAACTTGACCATTGAATGCTTGGATCTATTATGTTTAGTTTTTGGATCTTTTGGTCCCAAGAATGGAGCTTTATGGTTCCAAATCCGTTTTTAGGCTTAGGGTTGCCACCCTTGATGCTATTTGAGTCCCTAAGACCAAAAGTTGCCATCTTGATGGTCTTAATGGGTTCATGCTTGAGTTAGGGTCACTTTTATGGAAGTAGAATGACATTTTTGGAGTTTGGGTTTGTTTGGGGCATGCAAAGTCACCAAGTCAGTGACTTTATGGGTTTAGACGTTAGGTATAGCTCAGATCTGTGATTTGGACTTGTTGGATAAAGTATTAAGCACTTAATGGATGTTGTGCATGAGCTGTTTGTATGCTGGGCGTACTATGTAGTACGCTGCGCGTACAGTCCATTTGTGGACTTCGAACCTTTAGGCCCTAATGGTTTTGGGCCTGGATTTGCTGATAGTTGGGCCTGAATGCATCTTTAGGCCAATAATGGAATAGCTGGGCCTATTGGGCCTTGTGGCCCAATATAGAAATGAACTTCGCATTATGGGCCTCGGTTGGGCCAATTCTTGGACTAGATTGTTGTGGGCCTTCGTGGGCCATTTGGGTCGGGATTATTGACTAAGGAGAATATTGGGTTTTAGTATAAGGTCCACTAGAAAGGTCTGGGCCCAATTTGGATAATTGGGCCATTGATGGTTTATGGACATTATAATGTTGGGCTTTTGTTTTGGGTTTGGGCCTTTGTTTTGGACCATATTGGGGCAGGGGTAAAATGGTCATCTTACCCCATGCATGGATTAAGGATTATGGTATGGGACCCAATTGCTAATTGGGTATATTGATTGGTAGTGGTAGCTCGGGAGGCTGGCGGGGCAGCAACTAAGGAATTCTTCAGGAAGCTTCTGCATTCGAGGTGAGTCTTCTCACAATACCCATGGGTCTAAGGCACCAAGGTCGGCCCATTATGTTATTAGGGTAAATGTGTTAGTCATTCTGTGATTTGATATGTGATTGTATGCTAATGCATGGAAGACCCCGGGGGGAGCCCGTGGCATTGGATGTAAGACCATGTGGGGTAGCCCATGGCATTCCTAGGTAAAGACCATGTGGGGTAGCCCATGGCACAATGGTGTAAGACACTGGGGGGAGCCCACGGCATCCTTACAGGTTTATTTGTGTTATGTGTAGATATTTCTGTGATATATGATATGTTTATGTGATATGTGTTATGCTAGTTGTCTTTGTGATACTTGCATGGAAGACCCCGGGGGGAGCCCGTGGCAATTAGATATAAGACCATGTGGGGTAGCCCATGACATTCTCAGGTTAAGACCATGTGGGGTAGCCCATGACACAATGGTGTAAGACCCTGGGGGGAGCCCACGGCATCCTTACAGGTTTTTGGTATGCATGGCTTATGTGTTATATGTAACTTTTATTTCTAGCAGGAAATGTGATACATGTAGCTTTTATAGCTAACAGGATATGTGTTATGTGCATTGTGGGTGTGAGGTATGCTCTGGGGGACTCACTAAGCTTTGTGCTTACGGTTTACAGTTTTGGTTTTAGGTTTCATCAATTTGGAAATGAAGGGCTCGGATTGATCGCAGTGCACACACCTATGATTTCTGCAATGATTGATTTTGGGATGAACTCTGATAAATGTTTTACTTAATGAGGATTTGACATGTTTGAAATAAATGGTATCAATGTTTTAGCTGTAACAAAAATGAAATTTTTACCCCTGATTTTTGGGTCGTTACATGAGGTATCCCTAAGACCTTGTTCCCGAGTTTTATTTTGTAAATTCAATAAAGGAAAGGGAAAAAAATTTGACAGAAAGAAATGGAATGGAAAGAAAATATTCATTATTCCGTGTTCCTGAGTTCGAATGAAATGAAATGAAAATTTTAAGTTTTTTTGTTACCGAGTTAGGAAGAAAAAGAAAATAAAACTTAAAATTTTCTTTCCCCTCACTTTCTTTCCAAATCCGCCCAATTTGGGAGGAAAATTTGGAAGGAAAATATGGCTCCAAAATCTTTTCCCTCCTCTCACTTTTCTTTCATTAATAAAACTCGGGAACACAATTTTCCTTCGACACCCCTCATTTTCCCTCCGTATCCTTCCATTTCCCTCGTTAAGTAGAACTCGGAAACAAGGCGTAAGATTTAAATAAATAAATACCATGTCATTAATTTTATGGCAACTCAATAATTTTTTTATCCAATTCATCGATTAACCCACAAGAATCAGTTTACTATTAGGTGAGATTTGAACAAAAGATAAAGTTGGAGACTTTGGTTGGTGTTTTTTATACAAAGCCTATAGTCGGTCGTTTTTGAAACATTTTTCCGAATATTTATAGGTTTAATGTTTTATTATAGCCCTATGTATAAGTAAAGAAAAGAAAAAATCTTTTAAAAAAATATATGTTGGGTTTGAATGAAAGAAACCTAGTTTATACATTCAAAACAAGTTTAGAAATGAAATAAAATAAAATTTGAAACTATAATATAATAGGGATCAGATGGTTAAGATTGGAGGTGCCTAATTGTCGTAAAGCTTTAGGCAGACACCCCATCTCGCATGTTTAATTGCGAACGATGACCACTCATCACTTCCCATTAAAACTTGCTTTGAAGGATCATGCGTTTTACATTTCCCTTAACCCCCCATTTATAGCCGCTTCTCGCCTTACTGTTTCTCTTCCATCTTTCGATATGGGACCAATTACATATCATCATATACATATATGCTAAACCTTCTTCTGCAAAATTAAGCTACCCACGTCGATTCCCCACCGACCACTCCTCACGCCTCCGTGATCTGGACGTAATTGCCTGTTTAAACTCCCCCTCAGTCCTGCATCAGCTTTCCGTGACACTAGGATTCCATTTGGCGCTGATGAAAGCTTCTTGCCTGCTTGCTTCCGGTCAGCGTGACCTGACGATGAGGTAAAAGACTTGGTAGTGGGTTTTCCTTCTTGTCGGCGGCGTTTCTCCCAAACTTTCTAGCCACTCTTACACCCTCTTTTACCGCCACCTCTCCTTCATTATAGATAAGTCACCCCCTCCAACTTCTACGAGCGTCTTACACCAAGAGAGTTACCGTCTGCCTTCACGTTTATATACTTTAAAGGTATTGTTGTTTTTGAATCAATTACTTTGATAGATGATTTCTTGATAGCATTTTCTTCTCTATCAATTTTCAGATGGTAACGAAAAAAGAATCATTCTTCTACACAGCTACATCATCCACCCTACGTTCATGTCTCAGTTTCTATTTTTCTTTCACAATTGCAATTTCTCTATGGTTAGAAGATTGGATCGGGTAAGAATGTCTGACACCATTGCCTCCTCCAATCGACAGTTTCCCGAGTTAACTAGGCATAGTCGGGCGATGTTTGAAGAAACCATTTCGAGAGTTCTTCTCCTCCGGTCGTTTGGTTTTGAACGACCAAGGTATGCGTTTTTAATTAATTACATTATAAGAATGTCAAAGGACCGAGACTCATTCCAATCTATTGTTTGCACAAAACTCTAATCCTTGGTTAAGCTGTCTCTTGAAATTGATTATTAGTTTAGATTATTTGGGTCAATTGATTATGATTTCAATAATCTGCATGCAATGCAACATACTTAATAAAGTAGAAGATGATTACCGCTCTTTTTAAAGGAGTTTTATTTATTAGCTTTTATTTCAGTTATATAATCCAAATTTAGCCTTGGAATAAGGTTAGGTTTTGTGGAAATTATGTAATTAAGAAACCTAAATTATGCAAAATTTGTGTTTGATGTTTCACATGTTGAACCAGTTATTAGGATAACATCAACTGTATGGTGGAATATTGTATAGGGAATGATTCGTAGGTTCTTGTCATTTTCTCTTTGTTACTTCAGTTTCTACAATGGATTTTGAAGAAGTTTCCCTTGTTTAGTTGTTCATTGGTCACATATTTGGTAACCCCCTGTATTTGTATTATCTATGAATATGGTTGTTTTGTTAATTGGTTTTGTGCATCAGTTTTATTAAATCTATCTACAAGATAAGATAATAGGTTTACTTTCCTTATCAAACCACATTTTTGAATAAAACTCATATTTTTTAATGTAACTTATTTTGACAGATCCAATTGGGACAACTGGTCTGGAGCACGAGATAATATAATTCTCCAACAAGAACTTCCTGGGTCTTACCGTATCAAAGTAAGTAAGTTTAACACTCTCATTATAAATTTCTAATTTCACATTTTTACAATTCTACATCCAGGGTGAGGTCATTATTGTCTTTTTTATTTTTACCCCTATAGAGCAAAATTATATTTTCCAGGGTGTTGCTGCATTCTCTCTACATTGATTATGGAAAGATAAGTTCAGTTCCAATTTTACTTAAAACCAAATAACATAAATAATAATAATAATAATAATAATAATAATAATAATAATAATAACCTTCAAGAGTTGAACAAAAAAACCTGTTTGGAGAGGAGTGCCAACATCTTCTCCATCAAAAACTCTGAGCATCAATAACTGCAACAAAAAAACATGGCAAAATAACAAAAGTGGTATTTACCAATATGTTGTTTGGGAGCATTTGGTTGGAATCCATTCCTTTGGTTTTTTGGCTTCCAAATGGATGGAATTCAATAAATTTCATGTTTCGTGATATTTGATAGGAGTGGGGGAAAGGTATTCAGTATTAGACTAAAACATCTTCATAAAAAAAATTATGAAATATATACAATAGACAGAAATGTTCAAATATGAATGAAAACGAAAAATCTATTTGCCCAAATGCCTTTCAGATTATGATTTCTTTTTATTCAAATTTCTTTCAGGATACAAGAACTTTTTACAAACCAAAATCTCCATCACTTTTCATATTATATTATAATCATTTCCCCATTCCTAGGGGAGGACAAAAGCAATGCGTTTCACTTCTTACTTTTTTTATTTTAAAGACAAAAATAAAAATATAATTTTTTTTTATCATGTATATAAAATATATTTACCAAAAAAATATAAATAACCATGTAATACTCTTATTATTCAATTTCGTGCTATTTTATGTTGGTGTCAGGGCTTCGGAATGTCAACAAAAAATTTTAATTTGAATTTTGTTCATCTGCAACTGATTGAAAATAATATTTTTCTTTCCTGATAAGAGGATTGCCTCTGAAAGAAATTGAAATTGGAATATGGTTTTAAAATTTAGGGGTTTCTTTGCAAGTTCAGTTGTCATGCAATTGTTATCTCCTGTATTAACTAAATTCTCAAATAAGCGCTTCACCAGGATTTTCTTCTTTTTGTAAATTTCATTTATATTTTTTGACGGTCTCATGAGAGTCATGACTAATGAGGTTGATGTTATACCTCTGATATTAGGCAAATAAGTTAGATAGGGGTAGTTTGGGGAAATCATCAAATAAAGAGCATTTTGTTAGTATAGGGGCATTATGGGTATTTTATATTGTTTAGTTGTTATGACAAATAGTATAAGAGGGTAGTGGGATAGTCAGTGGCGGAACCAAAAAAAAAAAAATTTAGGGGTGGCACAAATTTCTTTTTTTTTCCCAGTAAGGTCTAAAGATGGACCTCTTAAACTCAAAGGTAAAACCGAAAAAAAAAAAACTCAGTTTTGGATTTGGGATCGTTATCTAAGATCAAGTCTAGATGAAACAAGAACAAGTGAATACAATAAATATAGTTGCAAGGTTCATATAGATGGGTATTAAGTTGGTTATTTGAGTATTCTTATTTAATTAAGAAACTATATAAGGTAGAATCACTCTTAATGAGGCACAACTAGAAATTGAAAATTAGAGTATAGTTGAATTTGAAAATAAAATAGACAATGTGAACAAATAGAGTATATGTAAGCTTCCCACTTTCCTCCAACCTCTTAATAGCGTCATGAGGGATACACTCTTAATAGTGTCATGAGGGATACACTACAATATGAAGACATACTATAAGGGACATTTGGTCAGGCATGTCAATAGATAATTTTATGAAACCTAAATCCAAGAATTCATCTTCATGAAGTCTCAACTTATTTTGCACACACTCCAACCTGAATATGCATAAAATAACTTTAGGATATGATTTCCATCTTAAATGCAAGGAACATAATATTTATTCATTTTAAAAATCATGGGGTTATACCTATAAAACTTAAAAAATTCAAGGAAAACTAAACACATTTGAAAATAAAAACTCACCAAGAAAATAGCTACTGGAACGAATATAGTGATTGAACCAGATGATATAGTTCTTATGGAAAGCGGTATAAAAGATCTGATCATTTCCATTGGTCCTCAAGAAAAACATTCAATAAAATCAATACCTGGGGATTCTAATTGATTCATGTGTTTTGTTTCAAATCACCTGTTACAACATTATGTATGTTTTTCATTGAAGAGTTTTATCAAACACTTGGTGTTCATAAAAAACATAGACCACAGATTAAACAATCAAACCCATATTAAAAACTCCTGAAACATGTTATAATCTATAAAACTATTTAATGATTTCCACTAGTAGAAAATTAGAAATCATCATTGAATACAGACAAAATCAGAAAGCAAATAAAGCAACAATTGAGAAGATGAGCAAGTAAAAGTCGGAAGTTTGAGCTGTAAAGTAGAGAACCCTATGTCCGTGTTTCACTTCACAGCTCCTCTTTTTCATCTTCATTGTCCCCCATCTTCAACAATCTGGGCTAAGGAGTAGCACAATATATTTTCTAGGAGTAACACGTCTTCTTCAGCAAAAAAAGTTGCATTTCTCGGACAAACTTGAGGGGTAGCACTACCCCTGGCTATTAATTGGTTCCGCTATCCTATCTTTAGTTCTTGTAATCTTTTGGGGTATTATAGAGTGTTTTCACTTTTCAGTCAATATTAGAATCATTTGGTTGATTTTATGCTATTGAATCTGTTCTTAAAATCCAGTTCATAACAATTCAATGGGGCATAGACACACAACTTAACTTATTAATCATAACATTTATTGAAAGAAAATCAAACATAAACACTAAAATACATAATGAAAATATATAGTATTTTTTTGAATTTAATTATTATGATTTTTAAGTTATAGCAACTATTTATTTTTGAAGTATTGATTTTGAGGATTCTTAGAAAAAATGTTTATAAGATGTAATTTTTTTTTTTTTAGTTTTTATCTTACCTCTTTCAGAATGAAAAGCCGCCTTTACATAATGTAGATTAATTTCGTCATAAAAAAAGACATCCCAACTATTGTTTAGCAAAAAACCACAAATATTATTATACAATGTCGTAGATTCTAATGGCCTATTAGTTATATTATCACAAATCAAATATATGAATTAATAAATGAAAATTGAAAGTCCACAATTCATGCCATGCCATATAAAATATGAACATTTTTATATGGCACTCTTTCTTTATTCAAGCATATCTATTATATGAAAAATTATGGTGTATTCATCTATTCATATGGTTTTTTTTTTCGTGTTTGACCTTAAATTGAAAAATCAACTCTTTTTAGTTTCTGAAGTCTGCAACTTGGGAACATGAAAAAGCACATCAGTGTGTTGTCTGTTGGAGATGTTAGCAACATTTGAAAAGGCACCAAGAAAGTTATTATTTCCATAATTCTTGTAATGAATAAAAGATTTGGTTCTATAATGGATGGATATTATATGTTTGATGAATCTTTAATTCATATAGGTATGTAATGCTTTGTTTAGATCCTATGAGAAAGCAAGTCCTTGGTCTATAAAATTATTATTTTTACATTTAATAAAAATGGAATACACATAGTTAACTATGAGATTAAGTCTTGTTTGTTACTATAAAGCCAATTGAGTAAAAAAACATACCATTTCCATGTTAATTTACAAGTACTGAATGATTGATTCAGCTTGTTGGTGATTGTTATTTTTAAAATTGTAGAGGGTACTTTATACACAAAAGAATGCTTGAAACGCAGGAAATGGCAATCTACTTTCAATGATTTTTTTTTAATTAATTGTAGCATCCTACTTCAAACGCAAGTTTTAGAGATTTGGACTAAATGAAAAGAAAATCAATACATTTAATTGTATTGTTATCCAATATACATGTGTAGGTAACCAATCAGAATATTTATGCATATTTATTGGACATAATCTTCAAATCAGGTGCAACTTACTACAAATGATCCTTGTATCTCTTGCACAAAATATAACAACAGATGTGTGCGCCTTCAATCCTTCCAATTCCATGTATATAGGTTATTTTCTTTCCCTAGTGTACTACTTGCTTTATGCAATATATAAGGGCTAGCTACAGAAAATAGCAATGTACTTTCATTTTGCTGGTGAATTATAGTTATACCATTCTATTTTCATTTATGTTGATTGCAGAGTTGTTCTAATTTTTTTATCGTAAGGCATTGTACTTTTTAACATCTACCCAATAATAGCGTTGTACTTTCAGTATTGTCTTTCATAAGACATTATACTTCCAATATGTTGCACAACACATTTTTTATTTTCAAAATTACCACGCCCTTCTAAAATTCACTAGTATCATATATATATATATATATATATATATATATATATATATATATATATATATATATACACCACACAACACAACACCAAATGTAAATATTATCTGAAAATTAGTTATGTATTTATATTTTCTATCGGTGTTAATCAGTGTAATGTAATACCTACTGTCATAATATCCACGAACTTAATGTTAAATCATATATATTATTTTTTAAGTGATAATGTTTGTATTGAGTTATGAACTTATGATTTTGTTTGTTGTAATTTAATTTTTGGTGTGAATGTGACTATAAAGCGAGAACTATTTTTGTTGTCTCTTGCCATAAAGATTAGAAAAATGTATAACCATCTCTGAATCAAAATATTATTATTAGTAAAATGTAAAGAGAATACAGTAGTAAAAATATTGCTAATAAGAAACTAAATTATACACATACTACAAATGATACAAGCCTTTTATTTAATGAAAATACATTTTAGTTACCAAGTTAAGCGGTTTGATCATCGATACATGATCACCATGTACAAAAAAATGTTTCCTTCTTAAAGTTTAAACTACAGGCATGTTTGGTAAAATTAGATAGTTGTTAGCTGAAAGTATATATATATATATATATATATATATATAGATATATATATATCTATATATATATATATATATATATATATATATATATATATATATATATATATATTATATAAAAGTGTTTGGGAAAATAGTTATCGGATTTTAAATGTGTAAAATTAGTTAAAACTAAAAGTTAAAAACTCCAAAGATATACTTGAAGTAGTTTTAGACTCTGAGTTTTTTTTTTTTTTTAAATATTGTGGCAAACAAAACCTTTTTTTCCTACGTTTTCAAAAGCTAAAAGCTTCTAGAAGCCTTTAAAAGCTTCATGTCAAACACACATGTTAATAAATCTAGTGAAATTAAATATTCTCCTAAATTTTATTCCTACTTATTAACCTATCATATCAAATGTTGACATGTGTCACATGACACATTTAATGAAATTGATAATATTTTAATCCATTTGTCACCATTTCATTTGGGTAGGAGTATAATAGGAACAAATTGTAGGAAGATATTTAATTTCTCAATAATCTAAATATAACAAATGTTTTTAGGTAAAATAAAGGCAATTTCGTTGTTATATTTTTAGATTTAAAGTTCCCTTTAATAGTTTAATTATTTGACAATGATATTGTTTTAAAACATTTGACTTTGCTGAAATTAGTATCATGTTGAAATTAAACATTAAAACGTCATTCATATGTTAAAAAACAGTTATTACCAATATATATTATATATATATATATATATATATATATATATATATATATATATATATTAAAGCTCATGGCATGTTTCAACAGTAATTTTCTTTCATTTCTCACTTTTGTCACAAGGTTTTTATATATTTGTAAGACTGCACAGTTTGTTTAGCTAATTCACACTTTACCCTCAATTTTTTCATCGTCTATTGATATTTGCACACTTTTATCCCAAATGCTTACTCAATTATTCACTTTCCACATGGTTTTCTCTTAACTCCTTCCTATCATCTTCCTCACCAAACAGAAATTTTTTTGGTTTTGGAGTTTGGCCACATAATTTTCAAACTTTGATAATTTTAATCCTCATTGTTTATTTTTTCTCAATTTCGTCACACAACTTTCACCGTTTTTTTTTAAAAAGGCCAAATAATTTTCAAGCTTTGATAATTTTAGTCCCCATTGTTTATTTTTTCTCAATTTCGTCACACAACTTTCACCATCTTTTTTTTAAAAGAACTGTTTTGGAGTTTGGCCACATAATTTTCAAACATTGATAATTTTAGTCCCCATTGTTTATTTTTTCTCAATTTCGTCACACAACTTTCACCGTCTTTTTTTAAAAATGCCACATAATTTTCAAGCTTTGATAATTTTAGTCCCCATTGTTTATTTTTTCTCAATTTCGTCACACAACTTTCACCGTCTTTTTTTTTAAAGAACTCTTTCAACAGGAATGTTTTTGCTTTTAGAGTTTGACGATATAATTTTCAAGTTTTGATAATTTTAGTCCCCATTGTTTATTGTTTCTCAATTTCGTCACACAACTTTCACCGTATTTTTCTAAAAAGAATGACTCGTACAACGTTCGGACCTTTTCCTAGTTTCAATGATGTTTTATAATATTTTCACATGCAATATTATCAAGTCATTGAAAGTCAATGATGTTGATATTTAAGTATTCCAAGTTTTACATTTTTGTCCAAAAATCGTAATATTTTAAACTGACTAATTTTGGATGACATATTTATCGCTTATTGATTCAATTTATTAAGACATTTTTTAAACCGAGACAAATTCTTTAATATAATAAACACAAATTGTATTTTGGAATTTAAAAGTCGCATGAACTCTCAACTAATGGGCCCTTGAATTGGGCCTTTATAATGATTTGGGTCTTAATTCAATTTTTGGCTCTATGGCAAACATATCATCATAAGTCCCTAATAGCATTTTTAATTGATCATTGCCTTTATATTTTATCTCATACAAAACTCCATGCAAATTTGAAAATATTTTTTTATTAAGGTCATAAAAAGAGGTAACTTTTTTTAACATGAAAAAAACATTTCTTAATAAATTACAAAAGAGCATTAAATAGGTTCTTAATTTTTTTTTATTTTAATGATTAAAATGATAAGTCAAACGATGTTACTCTCAAATTACGTAGCAACTTTCATTATATGAACCTAAGAGATTGTAATGTTGACAACATATCAATACAAAAATAGCAAATACGAAAAAAAAAAGCAGAAATAAATCATCCTATAATATGTAGGATGACAATAGATTAGCAAAAAAATCATTAAATCAATAAGCAACCAACTACACCATCCACAAACTATAGAAATAGAGATGAGCAATGATCGGGGGTGGGGAGGAGCTCACACTCTAGGGTGAAGAATGAACTCTTAAGACTTCGTAATTAGGTATAAATGATTTAAGTGATTATAATAAGGGAAATTGAGTAATCTAAACCTTATAAATAACCATTTTAATAAAAATAACCAACAAATTTATTTATTTTTTTCTTTTTGGAAATTGACCACATGATCAGGAATATCATATTCCGGAGCATGTAGTTTCGTTACGGATATGTGATCAGGAATATGATATTCCAGAGTATTTATGATCTTATTCCGGAGTGGGTGTCGGTTGGTGGAAATTTGGTCCGGAATCTGTCACTCCGTACGTTCCGGACTGAAAAATTGTATTCCAGACTGAAGGTCGGAACGGCCATACATTCCGGAGAGCTAGAATTAGGGTTTTTGTATATTTTTGTTCCAAATATGTAGTCATTGCCAAAGGATCGGTCACACAAGCAGAAACTGTGACACTCTGTTTCATGCAGAGTCAACAAAAAGTGAATCTTCAAGTAGTACCAAGTCAAGTGGAAAAAGTAACGTTAAGTCTAAGAGTAGAAACACTAGTCAAAAAGGTACCCAACAATATGATATTATTGATTTAAAAAACCTGTAGTGATGTTTGTACGATATCATAATATTCTACAAAATGTTGTTCGGAAGCATAAACTTGTTTTTGCAACATCTTCAAAAGAAAATTGTTTTAAAACACCGACAAAGAAAACCATAACTCAAACATTAGCGTGATATGCAACATCTATCCACTGCACACTCTCAATCCACCACCTAGCAGCACGCTCATGTGTAGTAGGTTGCAACAACTCGTTGGGGGACGCTGCATAAAAACTATATATAAAGGTTAATATTAAGTTATTTATGTAATAACAACTTATAAATTATAAGGTGGAGTAAACTACATACATTGGTAACATTGAGAATACATCGACACTCAGATGCATGCAAACGCCTCATCCTAGGGTATGCAAATGCCCAAGGAATAACACCCGGTATAGAGGAACCCACTATACTACTGTTGGGAAATGTCTCCAAGATCCAAATCTACAAAATTAAGATGTCAAAAGCTTACCAAGTTAACAAAGTTACAATACTTGTTAAAAAAACTCCTATTAAACATAGTGTACATACCTTAAATGCATAGACAAATCCTTGTAGAGTATATATTTGTCTACTGCCGACTCATGGCGCATCTGGATTCAAAT